AAAAAAAAAAAAAATCGATGAATTGAAAATCTGGTTCTTTGAAAGAATAAATAAACTATGTAAGTGCTTAGCCAAACTCACCAAGAGAGAGAAAAGACTTAAACATCAATGTAATTAGAAATGAAAAAGGTGAAATCACAACATGCAGTCAAAATTCATAAGATACTACTTCAGAAAGCTATATTCTCACAAATTAGCAAAATTTGAAGAAATGGACAGATTCCTAGACAAATACAAGCTACCAAAATTAACCCAATAAGATATAAATATGCTGAACAACCCAATAATAAGCAACGATACTGACCCAGTGATAAAGAATCTACCAACTAAATCCCAGGACCTGATGGATTCACTACTGAATTCTGCAAAACCTTTAAGGATGTTATATCACCAATACTCTTCAAGCTCCTGAAAAAAATTGAAAGGGATGAACTGCTCACAAATTAATTTATGGAAGCCAATATCATCCTGATCCCAAAACTGGATAAAGACCCAATTTAAAAAGAAAACTACAGGCTAACTTCCTTAATGAACATAGATACAAAAAATCTTCACAAGACATTAGCAAATAGAATATAGTACATTATAAAAAGATTATGTATGATCAAGGTTTCATCCCAGAGATTCAAGGTCGATTCAACATATGTAAGTAAATACAGTGGCACCTCAGTTTATGAATTTGATTCTTTCCACAATTCTGGTCACAAACCAGGTTGGATGAGAACCAAATTAAATTAAATAGCTAGGTTCAGGGTTGAACTTCTGTGGAAATTTGATCCGGTTCTTGTCCAGTTTGGTTTGTAACCAAAATCTTGCAGAGAATTAAGTTTGTGAACTAAGGTAACACTATAAATGTAAAACAAATAGGATCGAGGTAAAAAATCATATGTGCACATGAAGGCTTTCAATACAATCCAACACCCTTTCATGATAAAAGCCCTGAAGAAAATAGGAATGAAAGGACCATTCCTGAATATGACAAAAGCTATTCATGACAAACCAATAGCCAGCATCACACTAAAAGGGGAAAAACTAAAAGCACTTCCCCTAAAATCAGGAACAAGACAAGGATGTCCTCTGTCACTTCTGTTCAACATAATATTCGAAACAGCCAGAGCAATTAGGCAAGGAGAGAAATAAAAGGGATACATAACAAAGTATTCAAATTAACATTTTTTGCAGAGGACATGATACTCTGCATAGAAGATACAAAGAACACCAAAACCCACTTAGAATTAATAACCAACTTCAGCAAGTAGCACGATACAAGATCAACAAAAATCATTAGCATTGTGTACACCAATAATGAACTGTATTAAAGGAAATTACGAAGTTTCAAGAAAAATGAAATACATAGGAATTAACCTAACCTGGGAAGTGAAGGATCTCTACAAAGAAAACTATAGCACTCTGAAAAAAGAGATTGAAGAGGACATCAGAAGATGGAAAGATGTCCCCTACTCCTGGATAGACAGAACCAATATTGTCAAAACAGTCATTCTCTCAAAATTCTTATGCAGATTCAGTGCAGTCCCAATCAAAATATCAACAGGATACTTTACAGATCTAGAGAAAACAATTCTAAAATTCATATAGAGCCAGAAGAGAACCTAGAATAGCAAAAGAAATTTGGGGCAATAAGAGCAAAGCAGGAAGCACAGCAAGACCTGACGTCAAGCTACTCTACAAAGCAGTAGTGATAAAAATGGCATGATGCTGGAACAAAAACAGACACATGGATCAGTGGAACAAAATTGAGGATACAGAAACTTTGACAGACACATCCAGGTATTTGACCTTTGACAAAGGGACCATAATCATAGGAGGAAGGACAGCCTATTCAACAAGTTGTTCTTGGAAAATTGGTTATCTGCTTGCACAAGATTAAACTGGACCCTTTTACCATACACTAAATTAAAATCAAAATGGATGAAAGATCTAAACCACCTAAACTTAAAGAATCAATCAAGAAATGGGCAAGAGAAATGAACAGACAGAGGAAGAAGTACAAGTGGTCAGCAAATATATGTAAACCTCTTCAACATCTCTGGCCATTACAGACGTGTAAATTACAAAAATGGTAACATTCCATCTTTCTCTGGAAAAGAATGGCAATCATTAAGAAATCAAACAATAACAAATGCTGGGGTGGCTATGGTAAAAAGGAATCTTCCTTTACTGTTGTGAATGTAAACTAGTATGACCATTATGAAAACCTGTATGGAGATTTCTCAAAGAACTGAAATTAGAAATTCCATACAACCCAGCTATCTCCCTTCCACATATCTTCTCCTGAGAGACTAAGATGTACTACTACAGTAATACATGCATACCAGTATTTATAGTAGCTCAGTCCCTAATAGCTAAATCCTGGAAGCAACCTGTATACTGATTAACAGACAATTGGATAAAGAAAATGTGTTATCTGTGTATAATGGAATACTACTTGATTATAAAGAATGACAAATTTGAGCTATTTGTATGAAAATGAATGCACCTGGAAAATGTAATGTTGAATGAAATCAGACACACAAAGCTTAAATACCTTATGGTGTCCCTCATTTGCATGAGGCAAAGTACAAAGAGAATAAGGAAGGATAGAAAGAGATGAAGTGGGGAAGTGGTCCAAGGGCACAAGAGTGAGCAGAGAGGAGGAGGGGAAGGGGAAATAAGTAAAACCAAGATATGCCAAGTATAGGAACCTAATAACCTCAATTAATGTGAATATTATATGCTATAACACAAGCTATGATTAATATCAAGAAAAATTAATCATGGAATAGAGGAATTGGAAGAAGGAAGGTTGGGGAGGGAAAGAGAAGGAGATTAAAAAGAAATAAGCTGGACTATGTACATGAGATCAATGCCCAAGATGATTGTAAACTACATGAACTGCAAACATGTACTAATAAAATTAGAAATGTTTAAATGAAAAGAAAGGATATGGAATGGTATAAAGGAATAGTAATATTTTTAAGAATACTGATATACAAAAATAAGTATTATGAGGTTAGATATAAAAATATTGGGGAAATAAGTGCTCTTCAAATGTTTGACAACTTTTCCTTGTTAGTGTTCAAATGCAGTAACTATTTAAAAGTGTATAATTCAGTGGTATTAAGGATATTCATATTGTGCAACTCTCTGTTTAAGAACATTTTAATCAACCTAAATAGAAACCCTTTACTCATAAAGTAGTCACTGCCCGTTTCTGTCCTACCCCAGCCTTGGAAATCACCAGTGTGCTTTCCATCTCTATGAATTTGCCTGTTCTACCATTTAATGCAAATGGAATCATACTGTGTAGCTTTCTAAAAAATCTTAGCATGATTCTTTTTAGGTTTATCCATGTTGCATTTATTATAATGAATAATATATGAATAATATTCCATCGTGGACATTTGGAGATATATACATTTTTTTGTCCATTTATCTACTGATGGATATTTGAGTCATTTTTACCGTTTAGTTACTGTAGATAGTGATTCAGTGAATCATTTTTATACAAGTTTTTGAATGAGTGCCTGCTTTTGGTACTTTTGGGTAAATATCTAATAATAGATTTGCTTTCATATTGCTGATTCTGTCTTTAACTTGTTGAGGAATTCACAGTATTTCCTACACTAGATACAACATTTTACATTACCACTAGCAATGTGTAAGGGTTCTGGTTTCTTTACATTTTCAGAAACATCTGTCATTTTCTTGGTTTTGTTGGAAGTGGTCTGGTATTTAATTGATGTTTGGTGCTGGGGATCTAACCCAGGGCCTCATGCATGCTAGGAAAGCACCACTGAGCAGTCCCCCAAAACCTGTTTTGTATTTACTATAGCTGTCTTAGTGAGCACAAAGTGGTATCTCATTGTGGCTGTGATTTGCATTTCCCTCATGGCTAATGGTGTTGAACACTTTTTCATGTATTGATGTATCTTATTTAAAGAAATGTCTACTCAAGCCCTTTGCCTATTTTATAATCTAGTGTTTTTGCTGCTATTGACTTGTAGGAATACTTTATATCTTAGCATAATAACTCCTTGTCGTGTAAATGATTTGCAAGGATTTTCACTGATTCCATGGGTTGCTTTTTCACAATTTTCATATTCTTTTGTGCAGAAAAGCTCCTCAATTTTGATCAATAGACATGTATTTTTGCATCTTTGTAATCTTATGAGTTTTTATTCTTGTTTAGAAAATGTAGTTGACTCATATATTTAAGCTTTAAGACTTGTTCTTGTCTTTTGAGACGGGTCTCACTATGCAGTTCAGGCTGGCTTTGAATTCACTTTGTAGTCTTTGTAGCAGCCCAGGTTGGCCTTGAACTCACTGAGATCCTCCTGCCTCAGCCTCTCCAATGCTGAGATTACAGGTTTGTGCCACCATAATCAGCTTGAATGAAAATTGTGTATGCTAAGGAGATAAGTAGTAAATGGATAGACTTGCTTTAAAAATAAGTCAAAGTAGAATGCTAGGTTTAAAACTTTGTTGTGGAAAACAGATTAGGTGGTAGGGTAGTAGATATTTCAACTGTAATTATTCATTTTAAAGTAGGCCCAACTATATAGTTAATTTCTGGCAAGATATAGCAGTAGACACCTGTAACCTGAGCACTCTTGGAAGCTGAGGCAGGAGGAAAATACCAAATTCTAGTTCAGCCTTGGCAATTTAGCAATCCAATCTTAAAGAAAAAAAAAAAAAAAAA